TGAGTTTTTGTCAAGCTGGCTTACTCAAAGAAAGCCTGGCTTTGTCAAATTTGCTTCATAGAGCACCCCTCCGGATTCATTATTATAATGCAACTTTAGCTTAAAATCTTCATACCTAAGCTTTTAATCTAACCTAGTCATAATTGTATACAAATTATTTTTGATACTTTTATTTACTACCTGAGAACACATCACTATGTTCTTCACAGAGGAAATATAGATGAGCTGAGATCATGATATAAAATCATTATTCATTTAGGAGTATATGTCCTCGCCATCATGGCTGGATGCTGAATTTGTTGCAAAAAGACTGGAAGAAAAGTGAGCCACATTTTCATAAATCAGATTGCTATCACTTGCTGCATCCAAACATGATGAAAAAGACATGGGCAAAACATAGTTCTTAGTCTTTTGTTATTTGAATATATTTGTTTTATGCAGAGACAAATACCTGAAATGATGTCAATGCATGCTCACAAATAAGACAGAACAAGTACTATGCAGTCCCGCGAGCTTGCCGCTCGTACACGCGCACATGCACGTCCAGCATAATGCAGCTATGTAAACATCAAAGCCTGTTCTGATGGGGATAATTATCTGTATTACAAAGGACACAGAAGATCTTTTGATGTCAACAAAGAGACAACCCTCTGAAGTCGCAAATGGTGGAGTAGCATGAGAGCTTAAAATACAAACCCAGAAGATCAGTTTCACTGCTGTGACACGTACACACTCGCTCACGCAGAAACACACACAGATCTTCAGGAAAGAAAACACACCGAGACTCGCCAAAGCACTGTTGTGTGCAAGGCCGGAGAGCAAGAAGCACCTAAAGATTTCTTCCATATAATTAGTTGGTGAAATATATAAAAACAGCAAGCAGGCATTTAATAATTTAAACATTTAAATGTGTTTTAAATGTTACTGCTTTGGTGGGCCTAATCTCAGGAGTGAATGAACCAGAGACCTATTTATTGCTGCTGGAATCAGATCAGTAAATTATGCACAGAAGTGGGGAACACTGTAATAACGGGATGGCTTGAGATTAAAATGTAATCCACAAGAAAACAAACTATAGTCACATGAATTCACAGTTTATTGCAATTATCTACCTGCTTTTTTTATTGCTACAGTAGCAGGGTTATTGCACTGGATTTGCATTGCGTCGCACCAGTGTGTCTGTTATTGTGTCCAACCCTTGTAGAGGAAACTGGAATTTTGCACTGATGAGAATTATTTATAGGACTCCACCAAAGCTCTGACTTCTCATCGGGTCTTATCAGCTGATGCAGGTCTTTATGGTTGTACTGTGTGACACGGCAGTTTGTTATGTGTGCTATTGTACTTTCAGGTAATGCGTTTATTGTTTTTATTGTGGTCTTATACTTTATAATGTGACTTTATTGGGTGTTTTACTGCAGAAGCAGCCTGAAAACAAATTTCCCTTAGGGGGCCATAAAGTTTGCAGTCAAAACCGCAACAAGGGCACAAGAACACATGATGCATCTCAAACAGTGCAGGTGTTTATGGTGTTAAATATCTGTAGCGGCTCGTCAGTAGAATATTGAATATTACAAGGGAGAGATGATTCACCTTGACCTGTTACGCCCCGGTTTCGCTGGCTGAAAATTTATTCTCTGTTTGAGTTTAAGATATTTTTGCGATAAAAAGATAAGTAAATAAGCAAATCTTTTAAAGAACGTTAGTAAAATTAGTCTGAGGCCATGGTTCTCTGCTGGAAACCAATGGATTGAGTTCGGTGGGTGAGTTGCTGCCCCAGATAAAGGAGTTTAAGCATCTTGGGATCTTGTTCATGAGTGAAGGAAAATAGTACGTGGGACGGACAGATGTGGCAGTAATGTGGCATTGTACCAGACTGTCGTGGTGAAGATGGAGCTGAGTCGAAAGGTGAAGCTCTTGATTTACCAGTTGATACAGCCCAACCTTCCCCTGTGGTCGTGAGTTCTGGGTAGTGACCGAAAGAACAGAAGTGCAGCCAATCTAAGTTTCCCACATATGCTAGCCAGGCTCAGCCTCAGAGACAGGATGAGGAGCTCGGACATCTGGAGGGAACTCGGAGTAGAGTCGCTGCTGCTTCATGTTGAAAGGAGCCAGATGAGGTGGTTCAGGCATCTGATTGGGATGCCTGGGCACCTTCCTGTGGAGGTTTTCTGGCCATGTCCAAATGGGAGGAGACCCAGAACTCGCTAGAAAGATTACATGTCTTATCTGGCCTGGGAACACCTTGGGTTCCCCCAGGAAGAACTGGAAAGGGTGCCGGGGGAGAGGAGCAGCTGGAACAGTCTGCTTAGCCTGCTGCCATAACAACTTGACTCTAGATAAGACGAAGAAAATGCATGGATGGATGGATGATTTTATATCAAAGTCTTTTTTGGCCATTTGAGGGTAACAGAATAAGCTTTAAAGATAGCAGTTGACATATTGTCGTGTAAATTTGATAAGAGGAATGTTGACTACTTACACACCCAGAGGATACACTGAGAACATTCCTAGCAGTCATTCGAAGTTGTGATTCAAAGACATCA